ATTAACCAATACTCAGATGTTGACACAAAAAAGATATACATATAAATTTTGATTTGTTAGCAAAAAGTTTCATCTTAAAAACAGTTGAATATCCATTGTTTTTAAAAAGTGTATTGATTCATGATTCTATATTGTATTTGACTATTTGATGTTGTTATATTTTTGGTTGTTTAAATGAAATTAGCTATTTGAATAATTTGCTACGTAAGATACACTAAAAACAAAATGATATTTAAATAACAAAATCAAATATTGGGAAAGCTTACAAGTCTTTAAACGATCTCAAAAACATTAGTACTACACCCATCCGAATGTAATACTTTTTTTTTGTAACTAAAAGAAAACCGAATGTAATACTTTGTGGTTGCTTTTCTTCCTTTTTTTCCAGTCAATGCATAGTTTTATGGGTGAAGCTTTTGCTTCTGTATACTATATAAAGCGAAAAATAACATGCCTACCTTGTGGTCTTTGCAAATGAAATAACATTTTCGAAAACTCGAAGTTAAACCAATCAACTCCGTTTTTAAAGGATCTTGCTTCCCGTCAACGATAGTTTACTGAATTTATAATGAGATTCGATAGCGATTGTTATCTTTGAGATTTCAACTGTAATGTTCAATTATTGTACCCTCGCAGTGTAGAGCGCAGAGTCATAATTTTAAAAATAATTTTAGGATAAATTAATTTTAATAAGTAGTTGATTTGTTGACGATATAATATTAAAGATTTAATCAAAATTGATTATATATGATATATATATATATATCACTACAAGAAAAAATATATATTACATCACTTATAAAGTGTCATTAAAATAAATGATTCTATTTAGAATCACTAATTAAAAATTGACACTAGGTATAAAATTTTACATCAATTTTTTAATTGATACTAATCTTAACTTGACTAGTATCAATTAAAAATAATTAATACTAATACTAACTTGATTAACATCAATTAAAAATAATTGATATTAATACTAACTTGATAAACATCAATTAAAGAAACTGATACAAATCTGTATTAATTTATATCACTTTTAAAAAACTAACACAAATATATAAGTTTGCATTAATTATATAAGTGAAGCATTTGATCAACTGACATTAGCATCAATAATAAATGATGCTAATATTTCTTTCAGTTATAAAAGTGATGCAAATAAAATTTTCACTAAACAACAATTTGTCCCACATTGCTAAGAATGATGAAGAACACTAGTTTCCTCCTCTATAAAAAAAATTCATCAACACTAATTTTTTTATGTTAAATCATATGTATATGTTTTTATACATTTATTAGAATAATAAATATAAAATTATTAGTTATCTTAAATTTATAATATTTATAAAAATTAACACAAAAATTTAAATTAAAACGAATTTTAATATCTCTGAATTTTAATATCTAATATCAGTTATTATAACTGATAGTAAATAATAATATCATTTATTTTAAGTGATTTAAATATTAATATCATTTATTTCAAGTGATGTAAATATTAATATCACTTATTGCAAATAATATATATTAATATCAATTAATATAAGTGATGAAAATAGTTGAATCATTAATAATATTGATATAAATAATTAGCATCACCACTTCTAGAATCATTTAATTAAATGATGCAACTGAATTTGCATCAATGATACAACACACATGATTTTTTGTAATGTATGCAAATTAATAGCGAGCTAGTTCAATATAGATTTCGTAATAATTAGTTAGATTATACTGTTTGATTTTATAATTGAGTTTGTGATTTATTTTATATTAATACAATGGCCTATTTATGAGTGTCAAAATCAATTAACCCACTCATCTAACTCGCCATGCATCAAACTAACATACTTTTGCATGCTTTTGAAGAACATTCAGCAGTAGTAGCCAATAATCGTAAATATATCAACTCTAATTCACTCCATCAAAAGACCAAATAGTAAAGGTACAAAAAAGCCCAAATATACAATATTAACTAATTTCTCAAATTTTGTTTGATTTATAATAATATATACATTGTTCGGATTTAAACAGAATAAAAGATATAAATTTAAACACCAAATTAAAGAAACTTCTTAATCTTTCGGGACCATCACACATTTTTTTTTCTGTTTTAGAGTAACATACTAACATATTCAGATTTTTAATAGTTTTATCGTCAAATTCATAATTAATTTTTATAGGTTTGTAATTACACGTTTATTAGTGTCACAGTGAAACAACTCCGTCCATTTAACACCACTTGCAAATATTTTGATGCTTTGACAGACCTACAGACCAGCACAAGCATAAATTCCAATCTGCTCTACCATGTGAACGAATATTGCAAATATTATTTTTAATGTTTATTTGTTTACAAAGTTAAAATATTTATCAATACATATATATCATAGAATCTAACTATAATATTTAACTAGAAAAGTAAAGTCTGCTTAAACAAATATTTTTTCTAAACAAATATTCAGACACCAATAAAGTTATGCTTACAATTTCTCATCATTTATGTAAGTCTGATTTCATAACAACCCATTTTAAACATTTTAGATAAAAAAATTCGTTTCATATCTTTATAGGATATTTTTTAGTTTTTTAGTTTTTTGTCGTGGATCTTTTTTAGTGATGTATGACTTTAATAATGAGAGTTGTTGGTGATTTCTTCAACGGATCCTTTTAAAAACGAGAAACAAATACTATTAAATACTTTTAATTATAACATTATGAACCCTATTAAATACTCCTAGTCAACGTATACGTATGCCATTTTGTTTGTCTCATTATATTCAGCAGTTTGGATACTTCCAGCACGAGGTAAGTGATTTTTTTTTTAAAATAACTTATTTATTTTTAATTATATGAATTATCTAAAACGTTATAAAGATACCAAAACTACATGTATTTTTAAGTTTATATATTTTGTTGTGCCGTAATCTTTTACTATTAATTTTAGAGAAATGTCTTTCAGATGCATTTAATATAAATTTTAATATACATTATCATGCTAAATAATTCTACATCATAAATGTTTTTACAGAAACTAACTATATTATTTTCACTTAAATAATATGCTAATTTAATTAATAAAACTAGAAAATCATTTTAAACTTTTATCTTCAAATTAAAACTCTTGACACTGTTATCCATCATTACTAAAATCGTCCAGCAAATCTCTGATTCATATCATCTCCAATCAAATCTCTGTTTATCACCAGATCATTTCATATAATCTCCATTCATCATCGAAAAAGAGAGAAAACCAATAATCCTCCAGGATCTTATTAATGGTGATCTTTGTCTCGAGATTGATATCAAAAAAATGAATCGTTTCAGATCTGATTTCAGATTCTAGGCTTGTTCTTCTCTACTACCACAAAGTTTATTATGGGCGATAGATTTAGCATAGAAGACTCCAATTTAGTCGGAAAAAGCTGAATTCGGCGAGATCTGCGTCACGTCGATTAGGTGATTGGATTTTTGAGTTGGAAAAAAATTGTTAATTTTGGGTATGACTTGGTTCTAGAAAACTTTTAGGAAGCTTTCCTATATATTCACGAAGCCTTTTCTAAATATGTTGTTCTTCTCTACCAACACAAAATTTACTATAGGCGATAGATCTGGTATATAAGCCTCTAATTTTGCCAAAAAAAGCTGAATCGGTGAGATTTGCGGTGGGTGAGTGATTATATTTTTGAGCTAGAAGAAAATTGTAGATTTTAACTATGCTTTAGTTCCCGAAAAACCTTTAGAATTTCTTATATATTTAGGAAGCTTTTCCAAATTTGTATTAAATTGTTTTCATATCATATTTTTTCGCTTTGCTTATCTTGATTAAGTGGATAGTAGTTTGTAGATGATACATCTCTAAAAATATCTTTTACTCAATTTAGAAAGGCCTACAATTGATAAAAAAAAATTTAAAATTTAAGTTGAATTTCTGATTTTAGTGTTTGGAAGACCATTCTAAAAAATTATGAAATATTAAAAGAAAAAAATATATTTAGGAAATTTTTTGTAAAAGATAAAATTGAAAAGATCGAATAAAAGATGTTAGTGGGTGAAAATTTTTTAGTTTCTTTGTTATTTTATCCTTAAAACTTGTTTTCATGGTTAATAGATCTTTAATTTATACTTTTACTAATATTTAAACTTTTTAATGCTATTTTTTCACTAAAAGTTTATTGACTAATTTATATTTTATCTTACAAAATTTTAAAATAAAAACAAAAATAATAATAATTTATCATAAGAATTATTAGAAAAAGTATTTTTATTGTAAAAATAATAATTACATATATGAGAAAAACTTCATTTTAAATATAAACAAAGAAGAAGTAAAAATTTATCAATGGTACTCGATTAATTATTAGTTGCTTACTCATTTTTTTGATGGAAACTTCAGTTTAATATTAAGTTCGGTTTAGATTTGGTTCAAATCAATTAATTTAGTTCTAACAAAAAATTATAATTGAATTCAACTAAAGTTAATTCAAGTGTTTGGTTCAATTTGAGTGTAATTCAGTTTAATTCAGGTTAGTTTTAATTTGATTTGTTTTTAATTGGGTTATCAAAAAATAATTTCCTAAAAAAATCAATATCGATTATTCATGAATAAACTTTGTTTTCTATATCAAATTTATTAATTGATATCATTTATTTTTTCGAGACAAATAGTTGTTTCATTAGAACTTTATATATATATATATATATATATTAATCTTTTTGTGTAAGTGATATGAAAACTCATATCAGTTGTTTATTTGATGTATGAGTTATTATTTTATACTCCTAATCAATTGTTTAATTACACAACTCAAAACAAATTAGCATTAGTTTAAGTTAACTGATGATAAACCAATAACTACATCAATACATTTAATGTTAGCTGTCCAATTTTTTTTGTTTTTTGTTGACACCGTTAATTCCCATGTTCTCGACACGTCACCCCATTCGTGTTACTTGTAACCTGTCATGTATTCCAATGTTCACGACACGTTACTTGAAATTATCTGACACGCCGAATTTTAGCCTATATATAGAACAATAGCGAGAAGAGGAGACCACACAAACATTTATAAGAGAAAAAAAAAAGAATATTGCAGCTATGGCTCCGATGTTGCAAGGCGGATGGATCAAGGTAATTAATTAAGGATTTCTATATAGAATATTATATATATATATGTTATTAATTATTAAGTTATTAGTAAAGCTATACGTGAAACTTGATAATCATGATTTTCTAAATTGTGTAATGAGTATTAAAACTATATCATCCGTACGTATCCATGTACCAAGCCTGTTATGTATTCGAATAATCTATATCCGTTTTAACGATCACCAAGCATCATGGTTATGATTTATCTTGGTGGATGATCAACAGATAGTGGATCAGATAGCAGGACGACCAGCACCAAGAAGCTCACACGGCATAGCCGTGATCGGAGACAAGCTCTACTGTTTCGGCGGCGAGGATCCGCCATACGAGTCCATGGACAAAGACCTTTATGTCTTTGACTTCAACACTCACAGTTGGTCAACCGCTCCGGCCAGGGGAGACGTCCCAACGATCAACGCCTTAGGCACCCGCATGGTGGCCGTGGGAACTACGCTCTATGTATTCGGAGGCCGTAATAAACAGTCACAGTTTGAAGACTTTTACTCGTACGATACGGTGAAAGGGGAGTGGAAGTTCCTGACGAAGCTGAACCAAGAGGGAGGACCCGAGGCTCGTACTTTCCATTCGATGACTTCGGATGAAAACCACGTGTACGTGTTCGGCGGGGTGAGCAAAGGCGGGCTGAATGCGACCCCCTTTCGGTTCAGGACCATCGAGGCGTATAACATTGCTGAAGGGAAATGGACTCAGCTCCCTGACCCTGGAGAGGATTTCGAGAAAAGAGGAATGGCTGGATTCCTTGTGGTGCAAAACAAGATTTGGGTGGTTTACGGGTTCGCGACTGCGAATGATCCTAATGTACCACCCAAACGCTACGGGTCCCAAGACTACGAGTCGAACCGTGTGCACTACTTTGATCTGGATACTCAAGAATGGACCGAAGTGGAGACTACAGGTGTCGAGAAACCTTCTCCGAGGAGCTGCTTTGCGCATGCGGCTGTGGGGAAATATATAATAATATTCGGAGGTGAGATCGAGCGGGACCCACAAGCACACCAAGGTCCTGGAACGTTGTCCCGTGAGGCTTTCGTGTTGGACACTGAGACGTTGGTGTGGGAGAGGCTGGAAGGAGGAGATGAACCGATCCAACGCGGCTGGGTGGCCTCCACGACGGCGACCATTTATGGAAAGAAAGGTCTGCTCATGCATGGAGGGAAACTTATGAACAACAAGCGCACCGAGGACATGTACTTCTACGCAGTCAATTCTGCCTAGTCAATGCTCTCTCACCCTCCAAGGTTTGTTTGTTTGTTTGTGTGTGGGGTCAAGGTTTTTATATGATTCAATAATAAAGGTTTGCGTGACCTTCAAGGTTTGTTTTTCTTTTCAAAAGTTATTAAATCAAATAAATGTGTGTGATGCACATGCAAAACTGTGTACATGTGTCTGTGGTTTGAAATTGGTATATATCACTTGAATAAAGCAATATGTGTTTGTGTTCGTGAGTCTAATAAATCATATAATGATATGAAGTTATCTACAAAATTGTTGTATCATTTAATTAAAGACGCGCGATAATGTAAATCTTGTTTTTGATGATTTTTAAATTTTAGTCAACTTACAATTACCTTTTAAATATGATTTTATGTCGGTAGTTTACCCTATAAACATAGCTGTCGGAATGATCCAAAGCATGATGTAATCGTGGCACAACGACAAGAGTGTATTCATTTGAATGGTTTATAAGACTTAAAATGTATTCCCTTTTCATTTGGATAAAATGTATACATTTAAAATACATTCTGGTGGATGTATTAAACTCAAAACACATTTAGATACATTTAATTATAATGGAGATATATTTTCTCTAAATGATACTTATTATGAACTGGAGATATTTATTATGAACTGGAGATACATTTTTTTTTAAATAACACTTATTACAAAATAGAAAGAGTAATATTTTACAGAAAAATAAAAGTTGAGTCACTCTTGTATCAAAGTAGAAAAATTGTAATAAGGTTTTAAAAAAAACTAAGATACACATTGGTGTATTGTAGAAAAGAGACGGGCTTAAGTTTCCAATTTCAGATTTTAGAATTAGGTTAAAGCACTAACGGATTAAAAGATTTTTGTTTAGAGATAAATTCTTTTTGAACTGTATTATTGACTAACTAGATGTGTTTAACATCAATTAATGCAGTTAAGTGCAAAGTCAATTGTGATTGGTTCTGTAACATACAAGTCATTAACTATGAGAATCAATTCTCTACTTATGGCTTGTGCGTTAAGGTATGTTTAACATACGTTAAAGGTGTTGGCTACAAAATCAATCCATCTTTTTCTCATTTGATTACACAATGATCAGAGAAACAATCTAAAAGTACTTTTTATGAACATGAGGCTTCAAGAAATGGGATGCACATGTCAATATAGATGTATATATGTATCACAAAGCTTGCGCTGGATAGTGTATCCCCGACTTCACAGCTTATGTAAAGCCATTTGATGAGGTGTAAAGCCATGGGATGTATTATATTTCTATGCATCATCCGGGTTTATGAATCTGTTAATCAGGAGTAAAGTCGGGGATACACTATCCAGCGCAAGCTTTGTGATACATATATATATATATCTATATTGACATGTGCATCCCACTTCTTGAAGCCCAGAGAGCTTAACATTCTTGTTCTTGTGCTTAGAGCCGGCCCTGACTTTAGTACTACCGCAAGCATGAGCCGTTTTGGTTTATTAAAAACACATCAAAAAGCCCAAAAATTAAATATTTGCATTTCTGAGTATCGAACCCGGGTTGTTACCCATGATAACATTAAAATTCACAACCAGACTAAAGGACATTTTTAATAGATAGAGGACCTAAATTATTTATATTAAAACAGACCGCAAACATGGGCTTGATCCATTTAGCCTCTGGGCCGGACTTGCTTGTGTTCTAATCTCAAGATACTGCTTCTACTACTAGCTTTGAAACCAAAGTAGACAAGCAGTATGTGCAGAAGTAAGAAATAACTAGGAGATATAAGATCAACTTTTCATTTGTCAAAGAGGTCAGTTTAATTAATGGTTGATATATCTCTTGCTCTGTTCCTGGTTCTGTTAAAAGCTTCATTTCATCAGCCAACTTGGTGAGTTACTTAGTTGAACCTAAAAGCCCACTTCTACTTTTAATTTGATATATATCATTGGGTCATTAGGATCCAAAAGGCCCCAATTTTAAACAAACTACCAAAAACAAGAAACCCGGCCCAACAATTTCTAAACACCGTACAAACAACACACACAAAAAAACCCGGCCTTCCTCTACTAAACCGTTCAAGAAACCGCTATCTGAACCGTCTTAGGCTTCGGTGGCTGCGGCGGCAGCTTCCCGACGGTGACTGTCAAAACCCCATCCTTGTAATTAGCAGCGACGGCTGCCACGTCAGCATCTTCCGGGAGCCGAAACTTCTTGACCAGATTCTGAGGGAGTCTCCTCTCGAGCCTAATGTACTTGCATCCTTCTTCGCTTTCATGGTCCTCTCTCTTCCTCTTCCCGTTACTCTTTATCACCAGAGTCCTCTCTTCCTCCACAGTCACCTATCATCATTCATCACCAAACCCAGGAGAAAAAAAAACCCCAAATCACATAAATCCTAATTTCATACCGATTAAACATAATATATACAGAGTAAACAACCATCTATGTATATAATATAGTACCTGGATATCTGATTTGGAGATCCCGGGGATGTCGGCGTAGAAGATGTATTCTCTGGAAGATTCCAGAATGTCGATTGGGATATTGTTGCTGCTTCCTCCTCGATTCTCGTTTCCCTCGCCGGAGCGGGAGCTCGGGAAGATCAGCTTCTCGATCGTCTCCGGAAACCCAAACAGATGATTAATCGCAACCGCACTCATTTCTCCGATCAGTTTCTGCCGGATTTCTTGAGATAGTCCTTGTGATTTTGAGTCGATTTGAATTTTGGTGTTTTTTTTTTTGCTCTGTTGTTAGTTATATAAAGTGAGACACAGCAGTAAGCTGGAAAGTTCCAGAGAAGGATTCTAGAAGTTGCTAGTGATTTGGAGAGCGAGTACGCGTGTCCATCACAGTACTGACCTCGCTCTATCAAATGCTTCCACGTCATCAATCTTTCTCTATTGGGCCTTGAAATTTATGAGGCCATGGCCCATTAGAACTTATTTCTCTCTTTTTCCTGCCTGTTTGTTCTATTTTGGACCGATACACAATCTACCTAACCAAAAAGTCCAAAAGGACCAAAACCATAGGATACGCAAAAGCTTGTATACAATGTTTCATTGATCTATTTATCATAATAATACCATGCGAATATTCACAAATTTTTTCTATGGCCCTTTTTGTTATTAAAGGAAAGAGCGATGGGCTTTTCTGTCAATTTACAAAACCAATCGGGTCAATAACGGAGATTACCCATCCGGTGACCTTATCCCTTCGCCGGTGAGAAAAAACTCAGATCTAAATTTTTTCGATATTCACATCTTTTACCTTCTCCGATCTGAACCTCAAGCCACCGATTTCCCATGGAGGAAGACGACGAGACCCAGTCGCTGCAATCTCCGGGAGATTCCTTCTCACCAGCTCCTTCCTCTCCTCCGATTTTGCCTACGAGCGACGTTACCGTGGCCTCTGTGACCAAACCCACGGTTTCCCCTCAACCTCCGTCTGGAAACGCGTTAGCCTTAGTCGTTCATACTCCTTCCGTTACCGGTGGTGGAGCTAGCGGGAACAGAAACGGACGAAGCGGCGGAGTAAGCGTTGGCGGAGGCGGAGGGAGAGACGATTGCTGGAGCGAGGAAGCGACGAAGGTTCTAATCGACGCGTGGGGGGATCGGTTCTCTGAGCCGGGGAAAGGAACTTTGAAGCAGCAGCATTGGAAAGAAGTAGCTGAGATCGTGAACGAGAGCCGTCAATGCAAATACCCCAAAACCGACATCCAGTGCAAGAACAGGATCGACACGGTGAAGAAGAAGTACAAACAGGAGAAGGCAAAGATCGCTTCCGGCGATGGACCTAGCAAATGGGTATTCTTCAAGAAGCTCGAGAGTTTGATTGGAGGCAACAACGCTTCGAAATCCTCCGAGAAGGCTCCAATGGGAGTTCTACGTTCGAGTCAGTACAAGCGGCAAGCCAAAGGAGCGCAGATTCTGCAGCAAGGGGATTTGAAAAGAAGCTCTGATTCAATGCGGTGGCATTTCAGGAAACGAAGCGCCTCTGAGACTGAGTCAGAGTCTGATCCTGAGCCTGATCCTTCTCCCGACTCAGCTGAGAGTCTGCCACCGCCACAACCGCTTCAGCCGCCGTCATTTCAGCTGCCAAAGCGGTTGAAGGTGGATAATTCGGGAGGGAGTGGAGTTGGGGAAGTGGCCAAGGCGATACTCGGGTTCACGGAAGCTTATGAGAAGGCGGAAAGTGCCAAGCTTAAGCTAATGCTGGAGCTGGAAAAGGAGAGGATGAAGTTCGCTAAAGAGATGGAATTGCAGAGAATGCAGTTCTTGAAAACTCAGTTGGAGATAACGCAGAGCAATCAAGAAGACGAGAGGAGCAGGCGAGGAGAAAGAAGGATCGTTGATGATGATGATGATGATCGCAACAATGTCAAGAACAATGGCGATGTAAGTAGCTGACAATTGAACACAAATGTTTCCTTGTGGATTTGCTATGATTTTAAGAACGTCTCTAGATTGCTGGATTAGGGTTTGATCTTGTTGCTGGTGTGCCTTGTGGGATGTGTAAATGTACAAGTCTATGGCAGGGTTTAGGGGAACTGTGATCATCATCATGTTGTTGTTGTTATGTTTATCTTCGTGTCTTAATTTAAGACTCTTAAACATGAGCAAATTAAAAAAAAAGCTTTGAACTTGAATGTCTTAAAACTTTCTGTTTTCTTAGAATCAGAATCAAAACACAAAAGTAGTCTCTGTAATTCTTAAAAAGTTTGAGACTTTTCTTATAGAATACGTAATATTCACCATGTCCAAGTACGATTAGAATAGAGAATCCCTTGGCAGAAACTATTTGATTAGTCAGCATCTTTATCCATAATTAAAAGCTGCTTAATTAAGCTAAAGCTAATAATTAACCTCACTAAAAATATCCAATGCTTCTCTTTCTTATTCTCCTTCTCCCTTTACCTCTCTACCTCTATAAAACCAATTTCCTCGCAGAAGAAAGAAAGAAGATAGAGACAATAAAACAAAAACCCAAATAATAAAAATATATAACTTTTATATATTTTTGGATACATTTTTGATCGGATGGGGTTCCTACACAAGCTGTGGGATGATACGGTGGCGGGGCCGGCGCCGGAAAGTGGTCTCGGAAAATTGAGAAAGCACGCTTCACTATCCACCGTCCGATCTCCTCCTCTCTCCAGCGATCAAGTCACCAGAAGCATAACCATTACCAAGGGGAATAACAACGTCCTTGGTCTCCGGAAATTGAAGATGGATCCGGGTCGTGTCCCGGATTCTCCGACCAGTTCAAGTTGCAACCCGGGGACGCCTTTAACCCGTATTTATTTCTTTTCCTTCCTCTCTCTCTAATCATTTCGTGTTACTGAGTACTAGTACATGATTAGTTCCATTAAAATTTGGGTAAATATGCAGCCGGGACCCCATGTGATCATTTCGGACCATTCAGCGCCGATAAAATCCCATCCTCCGGTGAAGCTGATGCCGCAAGTCTCACGACTTATGAATGGTTATTATCTCCATTACCTAATTTCCTCATAAAATTCCCTGATGTGCATTATAATCTCTTTTATTAAAAATGTGCTTTATGTTTATATATGTTAATAACAATGCAGGATTGTGCTAAACGCATTGGACCGTTGAAAACAACGAGAAAAGAGAAAATACTACGGGGGTTTTTGTGTAAATATAAATAACCTATGCATGTAAATTATGTAAATATTTACTGATATGGTCACTCTTAAACTATGTCTCTAGAAACAAATTAAGAAGACGCAATGTCTTCATTTCTGTTACGGGTTTTGAAAGATTATTAAAAGTCTGCAAAACTTGCTCTCAACTTTTTTTCAAATAATGAATGATGAATATTGAATTTACTGTTTGTTCCAGTTTAAGGCTGACGAATATCAAATTTAGTGTTAAATCTGCAACTTCAGAGTTGCTAATCCGCAAGTTGTATTACATATATGAACTACAAACTTCACAAGGACCTTACTAAACCTTTATTATCTATGGAACCGACAAGTTACTTCGATTAAGTTTACCATTACTAACCCACAATACAAGACCCCAGCAAATTTGGAACCCAAACAATCCCCTTCTATTTCATGTCATTTTATTGCCTGGCTTAGAATCCAAGTAAGACCCATAGGTTACAAACTGAGCATACATATTAAAATCAACGGCTTTTAATGGGAGAGACACATACATAAGACTCTGAACAAAGGTCTAGAACAAAGCAAGAAAAGTGATAAAATTAAGAACAAATCCAAAAAAAAAAAAAAAAGAGGGTATCTCAGAGTCAAGAGACCAGAGTTTATTACTGATAGTACATGAGCTGCTGATGCGCCGCAGCTACATTCTGAAAGCCACCATCGTACATGGCAGCACTTGCTCCAGCTGCATTGACATGCCTCAGAGAATGCTGAGCCTGAGGATGCATCTTGGCTAGAGCCAGTTGCCTCTCATAGGTTAAGAGGTCCATTGGGGACAGACCAGGGACTGAGACCGGCGCTGGTGGGGGAAGTGGATTTGAGGCTGTGCCTGATGGAGTTGGTTTGTTTCCCCATGAACACTGCGATTAATCACAGACACAATGGGAAATGGGTTTTAGGAGAAAACCGGTGAAAACAAATTTACAAGAAGAATCTGGTTTTCTTCTAACACTTTTCCAGAGAAATCATAACTGAAGTTAGTACCTTTATCTGTCTGCTAAAGAGGAAAGGCTGAGAGTTGCCCATTTGAATAGCAAGAGCAGCCTCTTCATGAGTGTTGTATATCACAAAACCAAAGCCTTTGTCTCGCTGGACACGGACCTCTTCAATCACTCCAGCGCCAAGTGTGTGGAATAGGCGGTGTAGATCAAGCTGAGTCACCTGCAAGATTGACAACCGTCACGAGATGGCACAAAAACAAAATCCAACCAAGAGCTGTCACTGTGTTTGTAAAGACCAATCCCTAAAAAAAGTTGCTAACTTACTTCTGGAGCGAGGTTTCCTACATACACAGTGGTAAATTGTGGGTTGTTTTCAGGAGCTTCTTCGTTTGAGATCTCTCTACCATCCTCTGCGCAAGTATTAAATCAACGGGATCTTTCATCAATATCTGATCTAAAGGGAAAGTACGAGAATAACAAAATTTGCAAAGTAATCAAATGAAAACCTGAAGAGCCGTTTGTAAGTTCAACGACACTTTTTCCATCACAGCTCTGTTTGTCCTCGCCAAAAGTAGCACCTTTTGTCGCCCAGTTGCATCTGATTTGTCTGCTGCTTAACCATTTTCCTGAGATGAGGTACAAGACACATACGTTAGACTACTAACAAAAGCTATACTAGGGTAAAAAGAACTCAATTCTAGATACAAAAGACAGAACACCACAACAGCTCCGCTTCTGTAGCCAAAGTACACAAAACTAAACTTTAAAGCTCTAAGACCACAAACAATATGACAACTCTTACCATTCATTTCATTAATGGCAGTTTGAGCATCCTGCAAATAACATTTACCATTTAAAAATCAATATAAAATCAAGAATGGGACTAAAACAAAAAGCCACCCATGATTTGAAGAATATGAAACCTGCTGATTGCGGAAGGAGACAAACCCAAAGCCTCTTGAACGTCCAGTTTTCTGGTCCCACATTACTCTTGCATCCCTACAAAAACAGATATCATATCAAAGATTCAGTTCGAATGTCCAAACAAATAAGCTCAATCGATAAGTAAACGTTTGTACATCATAGTTGTGTAAGGAGGGTTTTTTTTTTTAACCAGCTAGTCACTAAAAAGCAATTGATTAAGCACAAGAACTTACGAGCAACTGTTGAAGCCAGAAAAGCTATCAAACAATGCTGCATCAGTAACCTCTGGACTGAGATCTCCAACAAAAATGTTGAAATGGCCTGTATTTCATAGAAACGAAATCATTCAGCATCAAGCCTCTTTCAGAGGACAAGCAAACAAAAGGCAATTCTTTCAGAACTTACTTGATGTATCTTCCCTTTGACCAGTGGCATACGCCCAGTTAACTTTGATAGGCTGTCCAAAACTGTGAAATCAAGTATTATAACCTAGAGAATGTATGAATAGATTGAAATCAAGAAGAACACGAACTATCCATCGTCAGATGCTTACAGATGCCTTCCGTTAAGGGACATTATAGCCAGACCAGCAGATCTTCGATCAAAGTAGTGGACAAATCCATATGATGACTGTAAAGTGTGAAACATGTAACATTAAGATACTAACTCGAACCAAGTAAAAACGGAGATTTGCTTCCGAAATAAACCAATAAGAAGGTGGTTTTAACGAAACTCCACCTTATCCTTCCTGATGAGCTTACAGCTTTCAACAGGGCCGGTACTTGAAAAAATCTCTTGAAGAAGAGCCTCAGTGACCTGCGTATGGATGTTGCCAGCATACCTGCAAAACCCAGAACGATTTTAGGAGCTGAAGCATCAAACTAAGCACTTACAAATCTCCTTTGAACCTAAAAAATGTTTGATTCCAATAAACCAAAATGCGGACAAAACAAAAACAAGAATCTTTCAGTCTAAACACTCACACACTACGGCAAGTACTGGGATCAAAACCAGGAGGAAGGTTTCCACTTGGTAAGGGCTCCATCTGCAAAAGCATAAACGAACTTTTTAGAACAAGTAGCAAAAGACCACTCCTTTTATCAGCCAAAATCTACATTACAAGCGTAAGCGAAAACCCAACAAATTGAAGCAGAAAATACACAAAGAAATCAGGAGAAATCAGCAGATAAACTGAAATAACTACCAGAGAAAAAATACGAAACCCTAGCCCACAATCAAAAGCTCGAAACTTTACATGGTCTTAGCCCCAGAGAGGGAGAGAGATTTGAAAGACGAGGTAACAGAATCAGTGACAAATACCCACGAATCGGAATTTTCAGAACAAACCCTAATCTCGAATGAAGCCGAAAGCAAAGAATCAAAGCCGTTTTACAAACCAAAATAGCAATTTTGTCGAAGATGAATATAGATTTAAAAAAGGACAAAAACCTGAGGCGGAGGAGCCATAACACCGGGATGATAGAGAGAGTGATGCTGTTGCATCATAGCTTGCTGAATCATAGCTTGTTGTTGTTGTTGCTGCTGTTGTTTCAGCCTCAGATTCTGCATTTTTTTTTTCTCACCGCGATAAAATATCTGTTTTGTTTCCCGAGAAAATACCTCTTTCTCTTAGCTTTTAGGGTTCAAAATCAAGTAAGAAGAAGAAGAGGAAAAAAAAAAACACAAACAAAAAAAAAAGAGAAAAAGAAAAGGTAAAAAGGAAAAGAAAAATCAAAGAGGAAAGAGAAAACAATATTGCACGCTCTGTGATGGAGTAAAGAAAGGGCCGTACGAAACTAGTGACCATATATAGGAGTAGGACGATTTCTCTGCTACACAGTTAATACTAATGTCACGGAGCTGTAAGATTCGATTACCTGAACGACCAATAATATGGTCACGGCCCGGCCCAAGGCCCAAAACTAACTCACACCGTGACAAAATAATTGCAGTGTACTAAATGTCACAGAGCAATAAATATTCGTTTCCGTGACCGACCAATAATTAAATAGTTGTTGACGGCCCAGCCCAAGTCCTAAACTGACTTACCAAATTTTGCACAAGACAAACTGAATCGATTTAAAATTTAATTCGTTTGTAGTAACTTTTTTTAATTGGGAGTATCTCTGATTAGTTTGATTAATAATGTTATAACCATTTTTAAAAACCTGTCAAGATATGTATTTAAATCTTTCAAACCAAAACCAAAACGACAAAGGTATCAAACCTAATTTGATTTTCTTTTCAATTTTCATTATGACTAAAAGTGCTTAATAGTAGTATTATCCTCTTCTTACACAACACAGTTCATGGTTGCGTACTTAACAATATCAAATGTTTTTATCTTCTTCTTACACAGTTCATTATTCGTTTATCTCTTATATGATTGTTCTTTTTTATGTCGGCAGGTTTCTTTAACGTTATTGTACAGACCAATCAAGTAATTTATATATTTTTTTTAAGATTAGTAGATTTATATCATTCATCCAAACAAAAGTTAGTGGCAGTGATGATTCCACTATAAATTCAAAATATCACAAACGCCATTATTATGAATCTACTTTTAAAGAGAAAGTAAATAGAACTCGCCGGAGTTTTCTCTGTTTCCGGGTTACTTCACGCCGCCGGCGACAATTCAAATTTTTTTGATTTTCTTCTTTAAACAAACATAAACAAACAAAACACACACCCCACGAGCTGAGCGTTGAAAAGTCTATTGACTCTTTTCCCAAAAACCAAAACACGAATTGATTTAAAAATTCGCAAAGCAAAATTGGATTTCTCTGTATAATCTTTACCTAAATCTCCTTTCAAAGGAGGAAAAAAACCTAATTTTGATCGGTGAAGTCAAACCACTACATCGGATTTCGTTTTTTGCCTTTTTTTCTGTGATTGATTAATTATGGAAACACCGGAAAATCGTGGCGATGGTTCCGATGCGGCGACGTTCGAGTCGGCGGAGAGGATAATACTCCGGTGGGACTCTACAACTTCCGAGGAAGCTAAGGAGAATCTGATTTTTCAGAGCGATCGGGAGGAGGTGGATCGGTACTTGCGAGCGGTCGATGAAGTCCAAAGGCACATCTCTTCCGTCTCCATCTCCGATGAACAAGGTAGCCACGAGGTCAAAGCTAGCTCAACGATACAAATCGCCATGGCTAGGCTCGAAGACGAGCTGAGGAACATCCTTCTCTCGCAGATATCTACTTTCGAGCCCGATTCCCTCCTTCTCGAGTCATCAGCTTCCTCTTTCGTTTCGCGTTCTGACCTCGAAGAAGACAACAGCGAAAGCGTTGCTGGCGAAGGCGACGAGGATGAGGAAGTGGATCTGGTTTTACCAGATGGTTCGGAATCCGGTTCGGGTGCTGGTTCGAGCCGGTTATCGAGTAGGAGGAGCAGCTGCAAATCCACGACCAGCATACGCGAGATCGATCTGATTTCGCCGGAGGCTGTTTCCGATCTGAGGTCGATTGCTCAGCGGATGATCGGCGCCGGATACTCCCGCGAGTGCGTCCAGGTATACGGAAGCGTGAGGAAATCCGCCATGGAAACGATTTTCAAGCAGGTAGGGATTGTGAAATTAGGGATCGGAGATGTTCAGAGGCTCGACTGGGAAGCTGTGGAAGTGAAGATCAGGAGATGGATCCGTGCGGCGAAAGTCTGCGTTAGGGTTGTCTTCGCGAGCGAGAAGAGGCTCTGCGAGCAGATATTCGACGGCGCCATGGAAGAGACATGCTTCATGGAGATCGTGAAAGGCTCTGCTCTCCAGCTCTTCACTTTCCCCGAAGCCATAAGCATCAGCAGAAGGTCACCTGAGAAACTGTTCAAGATTCTTGATTTGCACGACGCGTTAACGGATTTGTTGCCAGACATGGAAGAAATCTTCAACTCCGATACATCGGAATCGATTCTTGTTCGAGCAACAGAGATTCAATCAAGATTAGCGGAAGCTGCAAGAGGCATACTCGTGGAGTTTGAGAACGCCATTTTCCGTGAGCCTTCGGTGGTTCCTGTCCCTGGAGGAACGATTCATCCGTTGACAAGGTACGTGATGAACTACCTCAACTTGATCTCAGACTATAAGCAAACACTGGTCGATCTCATCATGTCGAAACCGTGCGCCGGTTTGAAATGTACCAACGATCCAAACAAACCGGATATGGATCTCAGCGAGCTTGAAGGAATGTCTCCGTTAGCTCTGCATTGTATATGGACGATGGTGATGCTACAGTTCAACCTAGAAGGCAAGTCTTTGCACTACAAGGACGAATCTTTATCGCACATCTTCGTCATGAACAACGTCCATTACATAGTTCAGAAGGTGAAAAGCTCGCCGGAGCTAAGAGAGATTATAGGAGACCACTATCTAAGAAGGCTCACGGGGATATTCAGACACGCAGCCACCAAGTATCAGAGAGCCACGTGGGTGAGAGTGTTGAACAGCTTGAGAGACGAAGGGTTACATGTGAGCGGAAGCTTCTCTTCAGGTGTATCAAAGAGTGCTTTGAGAGAGAGGTTTAAGGCTTTCAACACAATGTTTGAAGAGGTTCACAGGATTCAGTCGACATGGTCGGTTCCAGATACTCAGCTTAGAGAAGAACTAAGGATATCTTTGTCGGAGCATCTGATCCCGGCTTATAGATCGTTTCTTGGAAGATTCAGGGGACATATAGAGAGCGGAAGACATCCCGAGAACTACTTGAAATACTCTGTTGAAGATCTTGAAACCGCTGTGTTGGATTTCTTCGAAGGATATAGCACAGCTCCACATTTGAGGAGACGGTCTTAGTGAAAAAAAAAGAAAGATTGAAAAAAGAAGCTTTTCTTTTGGTTTGCCCACATTAGGATATCATTAGAGAATTAGCCAATATATATTATCTCATTCTTTGAATTCTTTCCATTTTCATGTGGTAGTGTTCAGATTGTTCTCCAGCTTTCTGGTGAGTGATCTTAACACTTTTGTTGTACTTGTAAGCATATTTGTTGTGTGTGTTGTCTGTTTGTTGCCAAATGAGTTGATAAATGTGTTGCTTTTTGTGTGTGACTTTTGGGCACTACTTTAGTCTACTTTCTTCATAACATATCTAAATGCATTTTGATTTCTTTTTTAATCAATATGGTCGCAAGTTTTATCATCGTATTCGCAACAAACACAAAAAAGGGTTGTACTTTTATGTAAGGTCAAGACAAGTTTAATATAGATTGTGTGGAGACAAGGTTACTTACTATGGAACATCTTTCCTTCGCGTAGGCAATGATCCTAGTCCACAAAGATTCAAATAGATATATATCGGACTGTGTTTTTTTGAACTTTTTCGGATATATATTGGACTGTTGCATAAATCTGTATATTAGGAGAGTCCCTACATCCATATAACACATTTAAAAACTGTGTAATTAGTTTGGAAAAATTAACGAAAATTGTTATAGTTATTTTTTTAACCTCCGACGAAAATTGTAGTACATAAATTTTGAACGATGACTAATTTATACGATGATATATAAATTGATGATTTGACAAAAAAAAGTCTTTCAAAGGATTTATTTCAGCAGATGTTTTTCTTTGACTATTTTGTAAAAGTTGCATGCTCTATCCTTTGTAGTTTGTATTGCTTTTTTTCGTTTTACATGTAAAAAGTCAACTTCTTAAATATCCAATTGAACCGATAGAACTTTTTTTTTTGTTGTCAAACAAAAATTGATAATTTTTTTGGCTATTTTACTAAAGTAGCAACCGACGTCGTTTTTATCACTAGACCATGACCAAAGTATAAATAATTGTGCAGTTTTTACGTCACAAATAGAGATATTATGATTTTACTAGCTGTCATTAACAACTATTGCGTGCGTAAGCCTCTCCCCGTTCGCTTCTCTCCGCAACACACATAAATTCCACACACAAACAAAATTAATTAAAGATAGTAAAGTATATATGATTAATGTGTACAATAATGGTAATCTTCGACGAACCTTCTTTATTAATCTTCTCCAGGACAAACGATTTTTTTTTATGTTGGAACAAAGTTAGAAATTTCACCGATCTAATTTGAGGTTTCTTGCACGTTTTAACTCTTCGTCCACGTGTGTCTCACCCATTTGTGCCTTCATAGTTTTCCAGATTATGAAAGATAAATGAAAGTCATAATCGACATTCAAAATCATATATTAATTAGAAATAATTAAAATTTGATCCGCTTAGTTTAGTTTGGCCAGACTGACATTATTTTCAATTCAATCCATTAGCTTTCATTCAAATATTCTTTATGAGTGTAAAAATATCATTAATATGAAGAACTTAGAATTTACAAAACAGCTTAATCTAAGACTTAGTTACCTTGATAAAAAAGAATAAAAAAGAAGAAGGCTACATGATTCGGTGAAATTCAGTGGCGCTCATCAGAAGCAGAAAAAACATTAGATTTGGAATTTAACAATCTGTTTATCTAAGAAATTGATTCAGGAATCAGGTTTAGTTCACTTAGTTTTCAAATTCATAATTTACCAATCATCAATCAAACGATAATAATGATACAGTATATACTTATTTTGTTACAAAACTTATGGTTCTGTAAGTAAACATCTTTTGGCAAAAGATTAACTTACACCCAAAAAAAAAAAAAATAACTAGCCATTTGTAAAAGTATATATACTTTAAAGTCTTAACCCAAAATTTTACTAATCATTTCACTAAATGCGATTTATGTTTATCAGTCAAATAAAATAAAATGCTTAGCTGGCGTTGACCAAAAAAAAAGAACGAGCTAGCTTAGCTGGCGATCTCCACAACAATTGGCGGCTTGGTTCGCCTGAACACTGCTGACGTGGAATATCAGAGAACAAATCAATATTGTATTATTTCCTAATATTTTTTAAAATTTTTTTGATCACTAATCTTTTATTTCTGAAGAGTGTATGAATCAGTCTCTGAAAAAAAGATTGTATAAATAGCGGCAATATTCTCTTCTCTCTCTTTATCTTCTTTATCTCTAACATTCTAATAACAATCACAAAACAAAAGCTTATATAAGAATTTTTTTTTTTTACCAAGCTTAAAGCAGAAGTTACAAAAAGTTTTTTTTTATTTTTCTTCTTTAATCTGTCAAATGAAATCTGGGTTTTTTCTCCTGGGTTTGATCTTCTTCTCCAGAAATTTTTTGATTCTTTTATTAATCAATTGTTGTTCTTAGAAAATGACTTTGTTCTCTGAGCTCTTCAACGGCAAAGCGCAAGAAACAGAGTGGGAGAGAGAGAGATAGCAAAACCTTTACACACATACATAGTATTATATATTCATAGTCATAGAACGATATATATAGGAGTATTAATATTTATACGTGTACATATATACATATCTACAAGATTCGGAGCAAAAGGTTCGTGTTTTTGTATACGAATCAGATTCCAGAGATCAATCTGTCTCGTCTTTATAAAAATGGTAAATTTTGATGTTTCTTGATTTACAGAGATGTCTGCGAGCTTTATCGCGACCACGACCGAATCGAAATCGTCGGAGACCGAGAACGCGAGATGTGAATGTTGCGGTATGACGGAGGAATACACGGCGGCGTACATACAGAGCGTCCGGACTCTCTACGCCGGGAAATTGATCTGCGGGCTCTGTTCCGAGGCGGTGAAGTACGAGATTTCCCGGTGGGGCATAAAACAGAGACAAGTCGGCGTCGAGGAGGCTTTAGCGCTTCACACGAGGCTTTGCTGCGAGTTTGTCGCTTCTCCGTCTCCGACCGTCGATTTCATATCGGCGATCGGGGAGATGTTCAGGAGAAGACTAATTCTGGATTTGCCTAGGGCCGTGACGTCAGCATCGCCGTCGCCGATGAATATTCCAGCTGTTGACGGTGGAGCGATTTGTGCTGCGGCGGTGATTGGTGGAGCTGGAAGTTGCTTGCCTGCTTTATCCGGTGGTGTGTAGATTCGAATATTCGGCGAGGAATCAATCAGAGAAGAAGAAAGCGTGCGTGTGAAGATTAGGAAATATATATACTATGTTATTTAAAAACTAGGGAAAAAGAGGTTTGTTTAGCTTAAAACAAAAAAAACTGTAAATTAAATATTAAAAAACCGGAATTTGATTGTAATATAAATTGTTTCTGTGACAATGTCAAATGTTGACATGAATGCTTAATTAATGGAAGTTTTGGTGAGTTACGAATGGTAAATATCTCCGGTGCATGCATGAGTACATATTAAATTATATTTCATCTGTTTCAAAATCACTTATTTGACATTTTTCACACAAATTAAAAAAAATATTAAAAGTTTTATTTTAACATTTATTCACATACAAAATAACATTTTCTTTCTAATTAATATATTAATATAATAAAGTTAAAATATGATTTTTGTTTAAAAAATTGCATTGGAAATACAAAATAATAATCTTTATGAAAAAAAATAAAACGCTAAAACGATATTTATTTTGAAACGGAGGAAATAGTTTTTTAATACATATCATCATCCGTTAGATTTTATTGGTTTCTTTAAGTTAATGACATTTTCACACGTGCCATCTTGCAGGCGAAAGAAAGATGAAACGAATCAAGACGCTAACACGTTGGAGAAAACACTAACAATGGTACACATTCTTACAAACAGCAAATTGCGTTGCTGAACATAAGCCGGCACATTGTTCCGTCCTCCAAGCTCACTCACGCACGAGGCTATACTAAAAAGGGCTCTATAAGCTGTCTGAGAAGCAAACCGGTACGAGTTGGAGACCGCAAGCCCTTGAGCTTCCTCGATCTTTTTAATGGCTAATTCATAACCCGTCACACAAGTTCCGTACGGGGCCTTGAGCGTCGGATCAGTCGTTGTTCTCGCCAAGCCTTTCATCGTCGCTAGGTTCTTGTAGGCAAACAGCTGCGTTCTTTGGAGGACCAAATCGACAAGACCAGTCAAGTCTTGTGTGAAGGTTGTTGGATCAGAGGTCAGCCAAGGAACGCAGATATGTTTGGTAATTGTTGGTTTTGAGCAGAGTTGGTTAACTAAATCCTTTGTGACTTTGTCACTCGGAGAAAAAGATGAAGACAAAGGTGTGATTGATAGAAGAAGGACAAGAGCAAGAATCGTATACAGGTTTCTTGAGACGCAAAGAACATCCATTGTATTTTGTCTTATGGAATTAATTATATGCGTATTCTTTACTTAGATGTGGGAGTGCTTATTGCTTTGTAAATATATAAACATAAGTTTTTTTTTGGTGTGGTAAAAGTGTATATAACTCCCATTTGGTATAGAATCTTGTTGTGGTTTAATAAAATTTTGACCAGATTTTGTGTCTAATTAGTGACTTGTTGACTCAATTAAAAAGCGTTAAAGAAGGGGTTTTTTTTTTCATTAACTTTTTTTTTCCTAAAATGGTTCAGTATTCAAACCAGTAAAATTAAATTTACATAGATTAAATTGTAAAGATAATCTCAAACAATCCGAACGTATTTACTTACATTTTCATATTTTCAAGGTGTCTGTGTAGATTTCTGAATCAAAGAGTACTATTTTAAACCTTCGTCAATTAAAACTTTAAATTGATATTCGAGTTATTTTTTATTACTGATAAAAGAGTGATTTATATTTTAAGTCCAACTCATACAAACATCGAGCCAAATGCAACATTAACCGGTGCCGGTGCGTAAAACCTCTGAAAATTAACCGAAGTTGATTCCTTGCGCTAGAGGTAATTCGTTCCCATAGTTGATCGTACTGTCAAAAAGATAAAACCGATTCAAAGAATCAAAATTTGAAAACCTAAACCGGAAAAATGTCAATAAGAGAGAAACTTTAGAATTTTTACCAAGTGGAACGACGCATATACTGCTTCCATGAGTCGCTTCCAGCTTCACGACCACCACCAGTCGCTTTCTCGCCTCCAAACGCTCCTCCGATCTCAGCTCCATTTGTCGGTATGTTCACATTCACAATTCCACAGTCACTTCCCATTGGTCTGGTAATTTAAAAACCATCACAGTGAATCTAATTTCAGTAAACTAAACTCGAAAAGATCGAGACAAGTTGTGTTTTGTTTAAACTTTTTTTTTTTATGCCACTTACCCGATCCACTTGAAGATGTTTTCGGGTTTACGAGTGAATATCGAGCTGCTTAGACCTTGAGGAACAGAGTTGTTTATCGCAACAGCTTCTTCAAATGACTGTCCAGAAGAAAATTGTATTTCTTTAACTTGTGTTCAGTCTAATACTGAAGTAAAAAAAATTGATGATTTTAGAGACTTTTTACCTTAAACTTTAGAGCATATAGAACCGGAGCAAATAGCTCTTCTTTAACAACAGCAGCATCTGATGATATCTCGATTATCGTAGGCTCCACAAAGTTTCCTTCACCTTCGACTGCTTTACCTCCTGTTAGTATTTTACCGCCCTGCAGAAGCAAAAGGGTGTTTTTCGTTGAAAGTTGAGAAGGTTTATTAAACTCTTTTAGCAGTTCTTGATTACTCAGCAAAGCATAGAAAACTATTGTAGTACTTGCCTGGGATTTGATTACTTCGATTCCTTTCTCAAAGTTCTTCTTGGATTCAGGAGTATGTAGTGGTCCTAACAATGTCCCTTTCTCAAGAGGATCACCGATTTTGACTTGTTTGTATGAAGTAATGAGCTGCTCGAGTACTTTGTCATAGACACTCTCATGCAAAAGCTTTTAAAGACAATAAAAGAACATCTTAAGGCATTACGCAAAAGGAAAGAGTATAAGCATCAAAAGCGCGCTGTGATGGGATTGGATTATCGTACCAGCCTACGGCAAGTTGTGCAACGTTGACCAGCGGTTCCAACCGCAGCAAACAGAACAGAACGAGCGGCTAACTGTATGTCAGCATCATCCATGACTATGATTGCGTTGTTTCCACTCAGTTCAAGCAAAGTTTTGCCGGATCTCGCACTCACTGTTTGTTGTACCATTAAACCCACCTACGCATAATCGAAACATTCAAACAAGATGACAATGAGACACCAACGAGTAGGGCTCAGTGTGTTTGTTTGGGGGTGAAGGAAGTACCTTGGAGCTTCCAGTGAATGATACTAAGGGAATGCGAGTGTCTTTGGATATTGCTTCACCGATTTCAGCACCACCACACATGGCGGTAAAAATGGCACCGGGTAGATTGTTCTTCTCTAAGACTTCAGCCACTAGCTTGGTCATTGCGATAGTGATCAACGGTGTAGTTGGAGCACCTTTCCTGTGGAACCATATGTATTCATTATGACAATTAGGCCAAACACGAAAGGTAATAAAACTTCACCGTTTGTCGCAACAACAACACTAAGGATATGTTAAAGAAAATCAACGTAGATAGCAACTGCAGACTTCAAATATCGTTAAGACAGCTTCTTGAAGAAAGACAATTGCTAGGTAAATCCTCAAAGGCTTGGATTAGGGTGAAGGTTGTTACTTACCATACTACACAGTTTCCGCAGACCAGTGCAATACAAGCATTCCAACCTGCAATACCACAACATTGTGCTATCAGTTCTACTACTTTACAATTATTGCTAAATTATAATGCCGCAAATCTAGTTTCCTAAAGATACGGAGATTCATCTAGTTCTACTCTGACCATTTTTTCATGTTGGAATCAGAAAATGAAATTGCAGAGATAGGTGAAGATCATGGCAGAGTTTAGAGAGTCTATATATATCGCTCCTCTGTTTTGTAAGGCGCTCTAATCAAGATTTGAAACTGGACACAAAAGCTTACCAAGAACTGCACATGGAAAGTTAAATGCTGTGATAACACCAACAATGCCAAGAGGATTCCACATCTGCGTCACAATATCCAAGCATAATGTTAATCATTATATCCTAAGAGAAAGTATTTTTACACAACTCCAACGAAAGAAACTCGCAATCACCTCCAACATCATGTGATTAGGACCTGCAATGAGGAGATGATCAGAGTTTAAGATATAAATTATTTAGAAGAACACATGTTATAGAAATAGAAGGTTTATGTAATAAAGTTATTTGAAAAACCGAACTCACGTTCTGAAGGAATGACTGATCCATTGAGTTGTCGGCTCAAACCAACAGCGAAATCACACATGTCAATTACTTCCTGCAAAAAAATTGTAGTAACTAAAGTAGGTAACCCTGAATGTAACAAATGAAAACAAGAAACTTTAGTGTTTGCAGAGTAAAACAAACCTGAACTTCTCCAATTCCTTCGGCGAGGATCTTTCCCATTTCGAGTGAAAGAAGGCGACCAAGATAGTCAAGTTTGGATCTTAGAGCATCCCCAATTTGTCTCACAATATCACCTCTCTTGGGAGCAGGAACCTGATCATATATATATACAATTTTTGTTAGTAATTAGGTGCAAATTTGCTTAAAGAAAGACTCTAAGCAATTCACTTTATAATGAAGTTACCTGCATCCATATCTTAGCTGCTTCCTCGCAAGCTTTCATCCCTGTCTCGTAATCATCCAGAGAAGCTTCAACAACTTCAGCAATTGGCTGCATCCATGGTTACTTAAGCATTTCCATATGCAATACAAATAAAAATGATTTTCTTGCGAGAAAAAAAGAAGCAGAGAATCATCAAACAGAACCTGATTGTTAGCAGGATTGAGAGTGGACACAACAGGTCCGTTTCCTTGCCATTTGCCACCAACGTAACTCCCCAGATTGTGAGAAGTCAACCCAATCTCACTCAGAAACTCGTACTCTTTGCTCGCAGAACCCATCTCTGAAAAATCAAAACCCACAAAATGATCAAATCAACAATATTAAACCATGGATTTAAAGAAACACTGGTTTCACAACTAGTGAGTAGAAAGTAAATCAACTACAATCTAGAACTTCCAAAATAGAGAACAGGATCAGAGGAATCACCAGCTTAAACGATCGATCGTATCTAAGATTGGAGCTTCCGATTAGTTTTTTCTGATCACGGAGTCTTAAAAAGAGTGAGAGAAGTGAGAGAGAGAGAGAGACGTGTACGTCTTTCAAGAAAAGTTGTAACAGCGACAGGATTAAAAACGAAAGCTGAGCTGCTGTGTTCATCCTTAATTCCTTTTTAACATTATTATTTTTGGCTTCATTCATATATCAATCATATAATATCTGTGGGTTTGTCACGTGTCCTATGCTTCCTTTTCCGGGTTAAATTATACTCGGATAGGATCCGGATTAACCAGGTAAAGGACACAGAGGAGTTTTTGTTGCCCAGGCCCCATATGGCCTGGCCCATTGCAAATACAAGACCCACACAACAAGCTATTCTTGTATTCTACCTACATTAACTTTACAAGCTATTTATGTAATAATTTCATTTTACCGTAAGGAATTACGGTAAGTTTTTATCATACAAAATCTCGATGAACAGTTTGACCAACAATTGAAGCAAAGAGCTTTCACAGACTTTTTGTATTTAAATTTTCTAACAGTGCTAACTGCTAAAGCTAAACACACTTGTAATAGTTTTTATTTTTATTTTAATAATTGTCTTAATAATTTTTTTGATAACCATATTAGTTCATAATTAAATACTTTAAAACCAAGTAAAGCATATGCTTCGGTCCGGTTTACAGCCAATTCCGGGTCAAATAAACCCGAATTATGCAAGTAAAGAATCCGACACAGCCGATTGTCACCGATCTTTTCCATTCGATTTTCCGTGATAATTCCGAGGAGAAGACGCTTTCCTGCTCACAGATCACGTTTCATTAACATCGGTGAGCACCTGAACCCTTGATTGAATCCCTTCTGCTCTAAATCGGAATCCTAGGGTTTCTAAATCTTCTCACTTTCCTCATATCCTCCTATTTCAAAGCCCTTTCCTGAGTTCGTTTAGGTGAGGCTCTTTTAGCTTATTGACGACGATCTATGGCGAGTAGATTGTGTTAGTAAAATCCAAGTTTGGGATCTCGAGAAATGAGAGCTGTGAATTTACTGTATAGCTCGAGCAATCCCAAATTTCGAAGGATTTTCAATGGGGTTTGTGCTGTAATCCTATTCTTCTTCTTCTTCTTCTTTGATCGGAGCGATTTACTCAGGAACCCATTTACAAAGAGTCTGTCTTTCGTTGATGGTAGTGGTCCAGGATCGGTTTCAGACACTAATGGATTCAGTCGTCGACATATGATTGAAGTTGACAGGGATGGTTCTGGTAATAACAGCTTGAGTGTTGATAGTAATGTATTGTGCTCTGGGTTACATCAACACAGAGGCTACGCTGATCAATGCGAGTTCTTGAAATCGAACCCGGTTTGCTCTCCGGATGGGTTCTTTGATTACCTCAGCTTCTTCTACTGCTCCTGCAGAGATTTCAAGATCTTGGGTTACATGGCGTTAGGGGTTTGGCTTGTTGCCTTGTTTTATCTGCTGGGTAATACTGCTGCTGATTACTTTTGTTGCTCGCTGGAGAAGCTTTCGAAGCTCTTGAGGCTGCCTCCAACTGTTGCTGGCGTTACTTTGCTTCCACTTGGTAACGGAGCGCCTGATGTCTTTGCGAGTATAGCTGCTTTCGTTGGTTCTGACAAAGGAGAAGTTGGTCTCAACAGCGTCTTGGGTGGTGCGGTGTTTGTGACATGTGTTGTTGTTGGCATCGTTTCGCTTTGCGTTGCGGATAGAGAAGTCAAGATCGATAAGAAGTGTTTCGTCAGGGACTTGAGTTTCTTCCTTTTCACGTTGTTGGCTCTGATGGTGATTCTGGTGGTCGGTAAGGTCACCGTGGGTATCGCCATCGCGTTTGTCTCGATCTACGCGCTTTATGCTTCTCTCGTGGCTGCGAATGAGATTCTGAGGAAACATTCGAGGAGGTTGAAGCTGGATTCTCTTACGCCTTTGCTCCCTATGCAGGGAAGTGTGTTCTCACCGAGTGCTGAAGAGGATACTCCTATGTACAGCCCGTTGCTTGAACTCGACACCGAGGAAGGTCCACCTCGGTTGCATGACTCTCTACCACAGTGGATGTGGGCTACAAACGTCGCCATCTACTCGAACCATTTCGCGAAAGCCAATGCACACGACGAGGAAAGGCCTCCATGGGGATGGACTGAAGATGGTGGAGAAGTCGAGAGCTCGTTGTGTTCGAAAGTCACGTCCTTGCTTGAAACTCCACTCACGGTTCCTAGACGGTTAACAATCCCGTTGATCGAGGAAGATAGCTGGTCAAAGACGTACGCTGTTGCTAGTGTCTCATTGGCTCCTGTCCTTCTTTCTTTTCTTTGGAGCAGCCAAGAAGATGCGAGTCTTCGAGCTCGCGTTGTAGCCTACTTTATTGGAACTGTGATTGGGTCTACTCTTGGCTTTCTCGCGTACAGAAACACAGAACATGATCGCCCTCCTCAGAGATACTTAATCCCTTGGGTACTCGGTGGATTCATCATGAGCATCGTATGGTTCTACATGATTGCAAACGAACTCGTTGCTCTTTTGGTGACATTTGGTGGAATCTATGGAATCAACCCGTCGATACTCGGTCTAACGGTTCTTGCTTGGGGAAACTCAATGGGTGACTTAGTCTCGAACATCGCATTGTCGATGAACGGTGGAGACGGTGTGCAGATCGCGTTATCGGGTTGCTACGCAGGTCCAATGTTCAACACGCTTGTTGGGTTAGGTCTGTCGATGCTTCTAGGTGCTTGGTCCAAGAGTCCAGAGACTTACATGATCCCGGAGGACAATAGCTTGTTCTACACTCTAGGGTTTCTGATTTTCGGGTTGATTTGGGCTCTCGTGATGCTCCCACGCAAAGAGATGCGACCGAACAGAGTGATGGGCATTGGTCTGATCACACTGTATCTGATATTTGTCACTTTCAGACTCAGCTCCGCCATGGGATTCATACCCTGGGCTGCTTAAACCCGCCATTTTAACGAGCTTCGAGATTTGTAAGGTACGATTGAGATTGTTTCAGCTTTATTGTACACTTCATCTAGTTAGAGAAAGCCAGAAGAAAAAACATGTTTGTATTATTATGTCGCTGTAACTTATACTAATAAATATGAGCCATTGGGTCTAGGTTGTTGTGGATGATCTTGGTCGTGGATTGGACAAATGGATTATGTATTTGTAGGTAGAGATATATGGGCCTTACTTTTAATGGGCCGACTTAATCAACTCAATATGCTGACCCACTTGTGTCGCTATCTGTCGGTTGTCGTCACGTGGTAGTGCGATTATGCATATCTAGAAAATAAATTGTTTATCTGATTTTCAACTGTCATGCTACGTAACACAGAAACATACTTTTTTATTAAATTAATCTATAACGTATTGAAAAAAAAAGTTATAACTTTATTTCTCGAATAGCCGAGTTTAACGAATAAATAAAAGTATCCTACACTTTTGTATACCAATCATTTTCATTACTAGCTTAGAGTTACTAACTAGATCTGATATTTGACAAAAAACAAATGTTTGATAGCTAATTAAAATTAAAGGATCTCAGATCAAGGGCTAATCTTGGGGACACGTAAATGATTAAGACATTTTTACCAAATTATTTTAGAAGGGACGAGATATGTAAATTTTTTATGTTTTGTAAAAAAATATAGTGAGTCGTTTGTTTATGAAAATAAATTAGAGAGTTTAGTACGTAATTTGATTTTGAGATCTACCAAGAAAATATCTTCAGTGTTTAAAATCATCATATTTTATCAGGGACCGAGGGACGTATTGCGATATATGCATATATTGGCTACTACACACACATAAAATAACAAGAAGTTTATGACAAAATAAAAGGACAAGAAGTCAAATATATCATTTTCTTGGTGACTGTCCACAATTTATAGTTTCACATGTATAATATAACTAAGATATGTTTATACATAACATATTGCATTAACTATCATGTACTATATTATATTCTCTCGCATTTAATTGAATAGATAACAAAATGGGTCCATAGTGCAATGTAAGTATGTGCCATCTTGGAGACCAAGGCGTAAGGTTAGTCAAGTCGTATTAACTTATCTACATTACAATTACAATTATATAAATATCTCTCTCTTGCGCATGAAGTAAACATATTAGGTCATAGCTTATGTCACTGGACCCTCTTGTAAGTACAATTAATAATTAAGAATTTTGATGCCACATATGTATCATCAACATAATATATTATGATTTGAATATGCTCAACTCAGGACAAGACATCCAAGAACATGTTATATCATATTGCTCTGTTCTCGCAATATGACAACTCTGACACTCATATGGGTTGTGTTTAATTATTTTTGGGTTTATATATACGCCCTTTTGTTGGGTTTCTACTCAGTTTTATGTTGGATTTATATGTGTGCATAACAATTATTTCATGTGAAATCACCAGATCTAAAAACATATGTGGGATCGATGCTCATGCTTATCATTAAAGTTTGTGTTTTGTAAAAAGTTATAGTGAGTCGTTTGCTTATGAAAACAAAGTAGAGAGTTTAGTACGTATATTTCTTTTGATATCTACAAGAAAATATTTTCAGTGCTTAAAATCATCATACCTATGCTGAGTTTGTTACGCAAGTAATGTTTATTATATTATTCAAGTTATGTGGACCAAAATGATATAGCATTAACTAACATTAGGTTAAAGACAAACTCCGCGACTCTTTGGTCAACCATTGAACTTATCTTTTTGATCATAAAAATAAACATACAAAACAATAAGAAGAGACCAGGTATATTTATTAAGTGTTTAAAATAAGGAAAAAAAAATTGTTTGATTGATTCACAAAGGGAAGACATGAAAACAGGTTCATGCTCTCTACATGAGCTTTCTTTGCAACATATTTTGGATTCTGGAACAAAGAAATAATAAATGTGCTTCCCTTATCTAACATATCAAGCCCTCTCAGTCTCTCTATCTCTCTATCTTCCTTGTTTTTTTTATTTCTTGTTGATTTATCAACTTTTAATACATGGCATTACACCAATATTCCCTTGTCTCTTTAAAAACAAATAATGAGGTCATAAATCATATAATTGGGTATCACGTATATATCAAGCATATATAGCTTTACTAACATTTCAATCAATTTATTTTTATTTTTCAACTTTATAGTAAGACAACCCGCGGTTAAGCCGGTGAGTTCGAACCCACGTAAAAACATAATAAAAAATCGACATTTGGTAGCATATTGGTCATACCCGTTTGAGAAACGAGGAAAAAAAAAAGAAAGTATAAACGAGGGAATTCGAGAAGTCTACTCGAGAAGTCTATTCTATTTTTTTTGTTATCAAAAGAAATTGAATAGACTTCATTCGGACCAAAAGAAGTCTACTTTTTCATGCGGTCAATTGCAAAACTAACCTGGGCATTGATTAATAGACTTCATTCGGACCGAGAGAAGTCTACTTTCAGAGTATTTTCGTAAATAAGTAAGGAAGATGAGGATTAGATGGTCATTTGGATTTCCGAAAATAAAAGAAATGAATTAAAAATAATGGTAATTTCGTGAATAACTGAAACTATGAAAGATTGTTTGGACACAAAATGGCAAATGTTGGAAAGGTGATTTTTGTGGGTTTGATTTGTAATTCAAATCAAATTTTAGGTCATTTTTGCAAGAATCCGAAAGTATAAACGAGGGAACTCGATTAGATGCGTAAAGAAAGAAGATCAACGTATACTAGGGATGTTTCCGCGCTACGCGCAGATTGTTTTTATATAGATATTTGATTATTATTTAAGTTAAATTATTTTCACTTTAAGTTAATATTTTAAATATAATATTTAATTTTTAAAATTGTTTTGATATGATTATACATCAAAAATATTTTAACATATTCAAAAAATGTATCATGATATAATTTTAAGAATTACCTACTTGATATATGCTAAAATTAACTGTTAATCTAAAACTTAATATTTGTATATAAACTCACTGTTATTCACTACTAACTTTCAAAATATCATTAAAATTATTTTTGTTTTGATTAAATTTGATTATTATTGTTTCATTTAATTTAGATTTTTATTTTTATTTCAACTGTGTTCATATAGTGTTTTTATTTAATTAGCAATCTCAAATACAAACAACACTCAATGTTCTAATCTCTTATAAATCTATAAAATAACTATGATTCATATAAATAAATACAATATTTACATAGTATAAAAAATCACAATCATATTGATAAAATGCAATTTTGATTTGGTTTATGAAGTATACGTAAACTATAAAAAATATAGATGAATAAGGCAAGTAATACATATACAAATACAATTTCATACTAACTCATTATGTTAAATAAAGTATGTTGAGTTTCTCAAAACTCAAAAGATGTAAAATTTTTTGCTTGTAATTTAACTTAAACATTTTTTCTTAAACTACACATATAATTTTGATGAGCTTTTATAATTAAACTACATATTATTTTTAAAGGAGTCTTTTAACCCAGTAAAAAAAAACCATATTAGTTTTTCATTCAAGTTGGGTTTATAAGGAATTTTGTTGATGTGGATAATTAGACATTTTTTTAGACATTTTTTCTACATAAAAATATGTATGTTATTTTTTCAAAAATGCATTATTATTTAATTTAAAAATTTACTAACTTGATATATATAAAAATTAACTGTCATCTAAAACTTAATTTTTGTTTATAAACTGTTTAACTCATGTGTTGACATGTATCACTTGTAGTAACTTGACTACCTTAAGCCAACTAAGACACACATTGAATAAATATCAGTGCATGAAATTCTTTTTTTTTTTTATCATTTTCTGCAATGTAAATAGTAACGATGATCGAAATCTTCATATAGATAGATGCTTTGAAAATCTTCTTATAATTTCTGTTGTCTTGTTGGTTGCCATAAATCTAACGTACTATGATGTTTAATCTGTATGTTTCTAAAAGGTGAATGTTTTAGATTTTTATAATTTGTAAATGTTTTAAATTTTACTTTAAAAGTTATTATTTTGTAATCTCTTTTCTATTAACTATTATTTAAGTTTTTTAGAGAAAAATTTATTGTCCAATATATTCACTATATTACAAAAAGGAGTATATATTAATGCTACAGATTTAAATGATATTTATTTTACTGATTTAGAAAATGATATTTAGTTTTATTTACTTATTCTTAATAACTATATTAACTTAGTGGTTCTATTTATTTATTTTATGTGTATTTCAAAAGATATAAAGTGAATTTTTTTATTATTGTTATATTAAAAACAAAAGAAGTATATATTGATGCTATAAATTTAAATGATGTTTATTTTACTGATTCAAAAAATAATATTTTAATTTTATTTACTTTTGTTGGTAACTATATTAATTTTAGTGACAAAAATGAGTATATATTAATGCTACAGATTTAAATGATATTTATTTTACTGATTAAAATGATATATAGTTTTATTTAGTTTTTGTTAATAACTATATTAATTTAATGGTTCTATTTATTTATTTTATGTGTATTTCAAAAAATTTAAAGTGAGAATTTTCATTATTGTTAATTTGTTATATTACAAACAAAAGAGTATATATTGATGCTATAGATTTAAATAACATTTATTTTATTGATTCAAAAAATAATATTTTATTTTTATTTACTCTTGTATTTAATTATATTAATTTTGGTTCTATTTATTTACTTTATGTGTATTTCAAAAAAATCTAAAGTAGGAATTTGTATTATTATTTTTTGCTGATGTGTCATATTTTTAGAGTAGTTTGAAAAGTTGAGGTGGATAGCTTAAGGAGCCCCAAATAGTTTCTTTTATTTAGTATAGATATATCATTATATATACGGATTAATTAATTTATAATCTGAAATAAAACATAAGTATGAGTTTGACGTGTGGTCCTGTAGAGTTTTATGTCAAAGTGTCGTGATGTATAGGCCATATCCCCTATAACAAAACGGCATATAGTAACAAAAATCATTAAAACTGGTATTATATCAATCAGACTATGAAAATACTATTTTACATAAAATGTCACATGTCACATGAAAGGTCACTGACCCCAAAACTAAAATGTATGTATACACAATATCAATGTGTATATATATATAGTTTCTCAACATGTCTCTGTAAACATAATTTATATATCTCTCTCTCTCCCTCTCTTCTCTTTTCTCACAATTGTTAACCAAATTAATGGATCCTCCCGTCGCCGCAACCTCCGTGTTCCGGTGGTCTCGGAGTCGCCGGAAGATTCAAATCCGCCGTCGTAGGTCACAGGTGGTGCGTCTTGGGGGGAAGAACAATGTGGGGCCACGTGGCGGCCGATTCTCATTGAAGAAGATGGTGAGGAGGATGAAGCTGAGATGGTTGAAACTACACTACGTGAGACTTGTGAAGAAGATCAAAGTGTTTTATCGTAATTTGGTGAAAGAGTTCGTAGACGCAGGAGCTGAGCTTGAAGCGATTCAGAAGCGAATGGCGATTGAAGCGGCTGCGTTTGCGGTTCCGGGTTTAGGTCTCTCTTTCTCCTCTATGTCAGTCCATGACCGAGCACGGTATTTTCTTGTATAGTATTAATTTATAATGATCATATTCATTAAATAATTTTATCTTCGAAACTTCTTTTATATTACCTTTGATGTTGTATCTTATAACTATTGTTAAATTTTATTTTGGTAAAAGAGAAGGGAATAACCAAGAAAAAGAGTCAGATTACAAACACATGTATTCATATATGCGTATACAATAAGTCAATAATACAAATGTGTGGGCGTAGTAACGTGATAAGGAGATTATGGCGATTGGCATGACATGAGATATCTTGTTTGAGTGATTGAGTTAAGGTGCATCCTTGCTGGAGAATGCAATTAGGCAGTTAACTGAATAAAATAAAAACTAGTATCATTATTATTCAGATCTTTATTGATACTGTACACTATTCTTACATGACAAACTCGTCGGTTCCCGACATAATTTAGAATATTTAATCAGTTGTTTGGATTTTAGACGATTACTTTAGATTTAAGAATCTCTATGCTTAAGCGTTTATACCAACCATGCATCTCAGTTTTCCAATTTTTAATTTTTAACCATAACTTAGATAAATATTTAGCTACAGTTTCTAGTTGACAAAAAAAACAACAACAGAATTTCTAGTTGTACTACAAAATACAATCTTGCATAATTAATTATAAGTTCCATATGAATTTGACCAACAAAGACTGTTATCACTTATCATTAATTAATTAGATTACTCATACAGTTACAGTTTCAAAGAAATAATTCGGAGTAAAACATTTATATTGTTAAAAATATATATATTTGTAGTTAAAATGTTTTTGGAAAAAATATTTGATAAACTGTGGGTTTGTTATGGATCTCATAAATATAATCGCCCAACATATCGAACCAAAACCAAACCGAGTCAAATCCACAATTTACGGTTAGACATTTTCCCGTCACAGACTAAACTGGAATTAAACCCGTTGTGACGACCGACGAAGGCTACGTCCATATAAATGAACACATCTTGTGTACATCCATGAACCAACTCTTCTCATAGATTTTTGATTATTAGTCAATAGTCACTCTTCTTGCGCGTCTGAACCACGGGTAAAGGGGTGGGCATTTTCGGTTTGACGGTTTTTATCGGTTTAATGAATAGCCGTGGAACCATATAAAACCAATTGTAATTAGATTTGGTTTCGGTTTGATTTAACTTCGGTTAAGATATGTTTTGAATCGATTTTGGATGACAGAAAGCCCAAGTTGCTTTTTCTAGACATTGCTGCCTGTATGTGTTCGTTTCTAACCATAAACCCATTAAAGGCCCAAACATGTTTCACCTGCGAAACAGGCCAAATTGGTTTTCTAGACAATTAGCTGAGCGTCTCTAATCAGAAAAACCCATTAAAGGCCCAAACATATTTCACCTGACTGTAAAAGACATTTGATTCAGTCTATTAAAGGCCCAAACATGTTCCAAGACCTCTGGCGGAAAGTACTCCAGTGAACTTCTCCTTGAAATCAACCCAAGTCAACTCGTAAAGCTCTTCCGTCGACTATACCACACTTTCCCACCAAATCATGGCATCATCTACCAGATACTGCACAGCCAAGTCCTTGCGGTACTCTTGTGGACACCTGATTGAATCAAAGTTCTTCTCCAACTTCTTCCTCCAATTATCAGTAGTTAAGGCACTCGCCTTCCCGTCAAAGTGATTCATCTGCATATCCCTCATCAAGGTTAACGTTTTCCAGTACGAAGGTCTTTGAGCTGACACATGTGCAACCGTTCTAGCCATTCAACTGTGCAGCCTGCTGATGCACATTCCCCAATCCCGGGTCATTCCGCATCTGGTCCCCAAAACGGTCACGGTACCTCTGCAACTCCTCTATCATGGCTGCATGCACAGCAGCTTGGTTACCTCTCTGGGCTGCCCCGGCTGGGTCCACAACCCCTGGTGCATTCACAGTGTTGTTCCGTTCGACACTTTCTGTCGAAGCAGCACTTTCTGACCTAGCTGCAGGTTGCACAACTCTCGGGGCTCGGACAACACGTGTTCTCTTTGGCGGCATCCTGAACACAGAAGAAGCAAACTCTCAAAACTCTTCACAAAGCTGAAACACCTAACACACGAAGAACACGGAGATCAAGTCAAGCTAGGTGAAGTTTCCAATTTTTCCTTTTAAATACCCCTTTTTGCCCAAAAATAATTTTTTTTTCTTCATAAATCAGTAAATAAATCTTTTTATAAATTAGAAAATATAAAATATTTTGAAAATACTTTTTTTTTAAAAAAAATAAAAAATATTTAAGAAAAATCATTAACTTGAAAACTTATTTTGAAAACTCTTTTTCTTTTTTCAATCTGCCTCCCGGATCAGAACCGGTTTGGCAATCCTAGGCTCTGATACCAATTGTAACACCCGCCTCTTTCAAACGAAGACGGCATGTTAAAGTGCATTAACTTCACCACAAGAAACCACCTGCTAGTTCAATGCCACTTTTATTCCCAAGGATCGTATTCAAAACGTCTTACAAAAAAAACCACTTTAACTTAACCAATGAATCCGAATTTAAATAACGTCTTAAAGATAAAAACGAATAATAAAATAAATCCCGTATCATCCCAAAACCATCACCAAGCCACAAGACTACTCTTGAATGTCTACGCGCTCACCTGCAGAGAAAAGAGGGATGAGTATTCCAACAATACTCAGTGAGGGCGGATCCTAGGGATCCACGATATACATCTCGCACATGCATAACCATTCCAGACGAAAGTCCTAAGCTAATACACACAAGCAAACACGTCTGAAGACACTCATAGATCAAGAAATGACATCATTAGACCTAACTGGTGCATCCACGCCCACTCCAGCGCACACCCCGTGGCATATAGCGGCCCACACGCTGTCCGTCCTCAAGACGCAGGGCTCGTCAAGCCGCCAACGATGGACTATGGAGTCCCACACGCCTCCATATCCAAACATACATATCAAAAGAGGTTCCTACATCTAATCCCAGCCCGCAAGTAATCTTCCCCATGTAATGCAAACACCCGCAAACATTATTCATACATCATTCAACAGTATTCCGTTTAGCGACATATGGTACTAAGTTCGTCATTCAGCAACTGCAGGACAGTAATAATTACTATGGTGTTATTAACGCATTACTAATCAGGTTCAACCAACAATCAAATACATGTATTCATATAGATACAGCGCAGGTATACGCGGATTAACAAATGACTACTCAGTAAGAAATAATTATGAATCTGAGAGAGATAGATCACGTCAGTCCTCACATTAGTCTCAAATCGGAAGCAGAAAACAGAAATGGAAGGAGATCTGGTTACTGCGGGTCTTCGCCGAACGGATCTGGGCATTACGACGGCATGGGTCCGACCCCACAGCAAATGGAAGAGAATATTAGAAAACAATAGATCCAGATCTGGAAAAAGTAGATCCGGGAAACTAGATCTAGATCTGAAAAAGTAGATCTAGATCTGAAAACTATAAAGGCTCAGATCTGCTCACCAAGGCGTCTGATGGAAGAAACGATCACAGATTCGGGAAGAGGACGCAAAGGAGAACGTTTCCGGTGACTGGCAATTTTCCGGCGGCGGCGGACGGCGGCGGCGGCTCCGGCGGCAACTCCGGCTGCAGCGGCGGTGGCTCCAGCGACGGCTGCGGCGGCGGTGGCTCCAGCGACGGCAGCGGCGGCTCCGACGACAACTTCGGCGACGGCGGTGGCTCTGGTGATAACTCCGGCGACAGCAGCGGTGGCTCGGTGAGAGATTCCAGTGGGAACAGGGCAGAGCTTCGCTGAAGAATTTTCTGACTGAAACTTCTGAAGGGGAACAGCTCTATTTATATTGGAAGAGAGGGGAACCCTAGGTCAACTTTTGGATTGGGCCTCGGTTTTTATCAACAAAATTTCTTCTGAGCTGGGCCAGGATGTCACAACTCTCCCCCACTTACCGGGAATTCACCCCCGAATTCAAGTCGACATCCCACAGAAACCAACGACCCAAACAGCTCCGGTTAACAAGCCCGCACAACAGCTTTAGGCTCCCAAAAATTATTCCTGGACTTCATCCCTTACTGAACAACAGGAACCAACTTGGTCTTCTTCTCTTGAACTTCTGACTCCTGACGGTTTGAGATTTACACCGACTTACTCGTAACTGTCAAGTGTAAGCCCACATCCACTGGTGGCACAACTAAGATCATCCCTGGTTCCCATACCACAACCCTCAAAACTTACCCATGAAACCCATCATGAAAGTTTGAAAACTTGTGTTGTAAGTCCAACCTATGATCTTATACAGCTCCATGAACCTTGGCCTAAACTTTCCCAGCTTACGGTTCCTCGGATCGCTCTCATTCTAAAATACACAGCATCGCCCAATCCATCCCCAGAATGACTTTGTAATGGTCCAGCTCCATTTTTACAAGGATTCCGCATAACTTCATGCCCTTCAGCACCATAGGCACTTCTTCATAACTTCAGTGGCCTTCACAAGCTCAACTCTGACTGTCTCGATCTCTTTCGTCCTCGAGACGAACCACGCCTCGGAAGGTCCAGCACTTTGCCAGTGCCGAACATACAAAGCTATTCATAGCTCCTGTGTCAAACAATTTATGGGTGGCGATTCCCAGAACAAAACCGATCCCACACAGTTGGTACTACACTAAGCATGCTATTCAAATTTCACACAAGACTCTCTAGACTGAACACATAAGTCTGTAAGAAATGACATACCCGTGTTTGGTTCCACACCACCATGCTCTCCCACGATATAGACTCGAGGTCTTCCCGGCTGTCCTGCTGGTGGCGCTGACAACTGAAGTTGTCCTTGATTCTGCCCTCCTAGCTGTTGTCCTTGAAGCAGAACCATACACTGCCTCGCAAAGTGCCCGATCTGCCCACAACGATGACACGTGCTCCTCAATGGTTGGGCCTCTCTCAGCGGAAGGCCTGCTGTACAATCCCTTTTCACATGCCCTGGTTGATGGCACCTGTAGCAAACAACACCCCTCAGGGCCGTTCCTTGTGCTGG